GGTAGATGATCCTTTTCAAATCTGCAGTAAAACACATTCAGATCGTCAGCCAGTTGTTGATTCTCCAAAAACTGTGGGGGTGGTGTCTTGTACATGGTAATGTTTCTCAGACCAGTCCATACTGACGCTGGATCGTTTGCTGAAAGCTCTTTTCTCAGCTTTTTTGAGTAGTTTTTTTTAGCCACTCTGATCTCCTTTGTTAGTCTGTTCCTGGCCTGGTTATACAAGATTTTATCCCCACTTCTGTAAGCATCCTCTTTGGCGTGACGAAGCTGTTTGAGTTTCCCAGTAAACCACGGTTTATCATTATTAAATGATAAGAATGTCCTGGTAGGAATGCACATATCTTCACAGAAACTGATATATGAAGTTACAGTCTCTGGCTTGTATTTTGGCAGTTCACGGGAGAGATTTGATTTGTTAAAATCTCCAAGAATGATTAAAATAGAGTCTGGGTACCTTTGCTCCATTTCAGTCATTTGTTCAGCCAGCTGTTGCATCGCGGCGCTCACGCACGCGTCCAGAGGCACGTACACCTTCACGAGAATGAAAGAGGAAAACTCCCGCGGCGAGTAGAAAGGTTTACAGTTTATGATGAGTGCCTCTAAATTAGGACAGCATACCTTTTTCAGCATTGTTACATCTGAACACCAACTTTCGTTGATGTAGAAACACAATCCACCACCTCTGGTTTTCCCCGTTAACTCGGCCATGCGATCCGCTCTGAACAGCTGGAAGCCCGGCAGATGAAGCGCGTTGTCCGGAATGGCTTCACTCAGCCAGGTTTCAGTGAAGCACAGTGCAGCAGAGTTTGAAAAGTCCTTGTTGGTGTGGGTGAGGAGAAGAAGTTCATCCATTTTGTTAGGAAGGGAACGGATATTCGCGAGATGAATGCTTGGGAGCGCAGTCAGAATGCCGGAGCTTCACCAGGGCGCCGGCGCATTTCCCTCTTCTGCGTCTGCACGCACGTTTGAACAACACAGCTGTACCTCCGACTAGAATGTCCAACAAAACGTCCAAATAATCAAAAACTGGAAAAATGTTGTCTGGGATGTGCTGCTTAATGTTAAGGAACAAACAAACAAAAACAATAGAAGAATCACGGAGCTCAGCGTCCTTGCTGCCATTTGCGGCGCCATGCTGGTGGTCAGTTTTTCTAATCTAAGCAGGTGCATGTTCAAAATAAGCAGGTGCATGTTATTATGATTTTATAAAAAATAAAAATACAAATGTTCATATTCTCTTTCCTCAGATGCTGTGAAGAGGTGAAGCCCAAATGATACAGACATGGATGCAGCAGTGCCAGAACACCTGAAGCACGCTCCAGGACGTGCTGGGGCTTGTGGATATAAAAAATTAGCCATAAACAACTTTCACAAACTCTAAAAACATTTACACGTGTTAACCATTATCCAGTATTTTTGTTGTTTACTTGTTTGATTTATGGCTGTTTAACAATAATGCAAGACTGTTAGAGGGAAAAAATAGTACTGTCACAGCTCTGACTTCCATGCATCAATGGTGGAACACATTAATCTCACTCCTGGAAGAGCTGGTGTTTGTGGACCAAGAAAATTTGTAAATATTTTGAATTGTTTTCTTTTGTTGAAAGACTCTAAAAATAGTTACATATGTATTCACTGTGCTCCTGTACTTATGTTATTTTCTTGTTTGATTAATGGCTGCTTAAGATACTGACTGGTTTTCGAACCCCCCAATACAGTAAAACTGCACATTTTAGAGTGGCCTTTTAGATTTAATAATTAAGAGTTTTGAATTAAAGAGATGTGTAATATTTGTGCCTTTAAAGAGGTAATTTGTAACACCTAGGACCAAGGAAACAAGTTAGTGAGAAGTATGGAAAAAACGTGTCATTCATTCATTTCTGTGGAGTTCAACACATTCCTGTTCATTATATAAGGTCATGAGAGCAAACATAACGCAAGTCACAAAAATAAATAACTAATTATTATTATGATACTTTTTGACCAATTTAAGGCACGGGTCACTCTCCATAGCGACCCCGATTCATAACATTACTATAAGTCTTTTGCCATCACACATGTGTTTAATGCACACAATTGTGCCAGTCAAAGAAAAACTTAAATTTTAAAAGTCAAGGGTCAAGAGGCAACTAAAGCAACCACTATTCACAATTCCGGTTGATTCGGCCCAGAATCTGAAAGTGAGTACGCAAACATCCAGGCCGGGTGCTGCAGATGGATCCGGGCCGGTGGACAAGTCTTTAGCAGGTGAAATGTTTACTGAAAATGGCCCGAGTGTACGGAGAGGGCTTGTGTATGAGGTAGATGTAAACAGCCTATCAGCAAATGTCAAGTTGGTAAGTTTTCACTAGACTTTAGTGGAGTCAGCAGTTCGCTTGACAGTAAATAAGGATCTAATTCTTTTTTTTTAATACCATTGTTTTCCGTTGTTGGTAAAGTGTTATTTTGGTTTCCGATTACCAAGGAGAGGCTACGCAAGGTCCTAAAGATGGCGGCCGCAACAAAAAAGTCACGTGACTGAAACCCATGAATATAGTTTAATGTACAAAAAATTTGCATAAAAAACAAAGTAAATCAGAATTCACAAGTCAGCTTCCATTTCAAATATGAGGATGTTACCTATTAAACTACAAGCTGTCTAAGTAACCCAACACCAAATAGCAAATGCTTTTGTTTATTTCCATTTTAGGTATTAAAATCATTGTTATAAGATAGATAGATCCCTGAACATTAGCTGAAGTTCACTGGGCCGTTATAAACACCACCATGAAGAACAGGGGCCTTTACGGTTCCTCCATTGGAAGAGCTGATGGTCTGTGTAACTCCTGCAGTTGAAGCGTTTACAGCTGCTGCACCGGATGAAGCTCCACCTTCAGCAGAAACGTCCTCTGGAACTGATGGAGCGACAGAGATTAACTCAAAATGCATAATTGCAAATACATATATAATCAAGAAGTTGAAACTTCTAGTACCTTCCTGAAGTTTTGTCTTCAGTTGGAGAGCAAGCTCATTTTGCTTAATGTTGTGTAGTGCTCTGACTGCAATCTTCCCAGCATCTGAAGTGTCGTACTGCTGCACCATGAGATCCACAACATCGTGGCTTTTAGCTTTTTCCAATTTTCCTCGAAAAATGGGGCTGATGTCTGGCGCTACACCATTCCACAGCTCCCATTTGAATTTTTCAAACTCCTTTTCCAGAAGATCTTCAAGTGTGTCACAAATCACTTTTTTGGTTGTGGCCATTTTGTTTCACTATTGGGGAAAAAACAAAACAATACAACAATTTAGATTGACCTAGGACCATAGTCTTAGCTGATTTATGCTCCAAGCATGGCACGCTAAAACGTGTCCCAAACCACCAAAATGCTTGGCTGGATGAGCAGATACGACCAACTTAGCCCTGTTTAAGCTGTGTTTGTGGTTATCTTAGCAGGGAAATAAGTATGTCAGGTAATTTAATAATAAAAAATTCATAAAATTTATATAACAATTTTCTATACAGTTAACAGCAACCCAGGCTCATTGGAAATGCGTGCCTCTACATACATTTCTGCAACACCATAATTATGTACCTTACTGCACGTTTCACTGCAGTTTCAAAGTGAAATGTCCAGAGAGTGACGTTAAAACACTCTCTGGACAATATGTGGCCATAGCCTGTTTTTATTACCTTTATTACGTATTAATTGTGCCGTTAAATAACAGTAATTTACTGACATAAATTTACATCTCGTCATTTTTACAGTATGTCACTCTTATACTTATTTCATTTGAGTCCATTAAGAAGAAATATTTAACAGTATAATATAGAACTAAAAACATGTCTTTAACCCAAATCATTGCAGTTCATCATCAGCTATAGCACACATGTATGTGTTGAAGTACATAACAAAAAGATGATCACTGCTTAAGCAACTCCATAGTTACTGTCTTTAAATAAAACAGTAAAGTAAAAGTGTTTGTGGCTCATCATTGACTGAAGCACAGGCTCTACTCTCCAGCACAATGATGACCCACAAAACTACATTAAACTAACAGATCTCTCTTGTGCAAGAACACATTAATACAGGTCAGTTACATATTAACTCTCCTTATCAGTTCGTGACTTTGCATAACTTTTTCTGTGGACCTTCACTAATATTTCAGTGAAAATAACTTTTTCCCTTTGGTTAATCCAACTGTTAAATTTTACAGTTTATTGTTAAATTACATTTCATGCTGTTTTTTTAATCTTACATCTTTAACCCTTTAAACCCCACAACAAAATCCTCCGTTTTAAATGTGTGCACACTACAAAGTAACACTGAATCATTGGTTAATGAGATAATTCTGTGATTAATTAAGATGAGTGATGAACAGCTGCTGTTAACAAGCAGAATCACTGAAGAAAAGAGAAACACAAGAACTACAACTGACTTCAGCCACAGACTTAGATGATATCAACTGAAATAAAAGAAGACATTAAATCTCTCAAGAGCTGATTGTACAACTAGAACCGCATCACCAGCTTCACATTACTAACCAGACTGATGCTATTTCTGTCAGATGTGTACAGAAGTGCAAGGGTTTTTTTGACACTACCATGATGGAGATCAGTGTTTGCAAAACGAAAGACAAAAGGCGGAATTATATTTACTCTGTAAACACGAAGTTAAAACCTGAGAACACATATCTACGTTTATGTGAAGCTTAAAAGTTTGTATTGAGTCTTAACTAACGTGTCATTTATCAGAGAACTAGTGCATGGAAGTAAATGTTGTACTTACACAGTTGATCGCAGTTGCAGTCTACGCTTTCTAGATCTCTCGCTCCGATTAGTTTCATTTTCGAACTTTTTTTCTGTAGATAAAAAAAAACTGCCCTGCAGCAATTGGTCTGTACAGCTTCTTGACGCAAATTAAGCTTTAGAAGTTCTCAGAGCTGCAACAGCGCGTTCATATATATGTTTTCGATGCAGTGCAAACGGCTGTGTATTTATTTGTGTTTTTAACTCGAAGGGAGCGAAATAAAACTGTCTGTTTCCCATCTTCGCCCTGCACCACGCCCACTTTTCTAGCATTTTTTTAAAACTGTGGTGAGAATTAAGCTGCGGTCACACTAGACTTTCTTTTACTGTCCTGGAAAGGAGAAGGCTGTGGGTTCACCCTATTCTATGGACTGGGAATGAATGGGGAGAGTTCCATTCTTTAATTCAGGAGCTTCGACTGGATGAGGATCGCCGCAAGGATGACTTTCGGCTCTGTCATATTTTATTAACATTTTTTTAAACTATAGTGAATAAACTGTATTAATGAATTAAATGTTCAAGGTGTCTGAATAAATTTTGGTTTCATTATACATATATATATATAATTTTTAAGTGCTGTAGGTTTTTCCCCTTTAAATAGGTAATTTTATAAGTTCCTGTGGTGTGCAAAATTTATTTTAAAATGAGTCTGAAAATGAAAATATAAAATAACAAACAACATTAAGTAATTTAATAATAATACACTTGTGTATAATAATTATATTGTACTCTCTTTCTCTCTCTCTCTCTCTCTCTATATATATATGTATATATATATATATATACACAAAGCAATAAAAAATGTGTCCGCATTCAAATGTACCGTCTCTTCCTGTTTCCATTGACACAGATAACCATGCAGCTTCTTTTTTTTATTTGATTTTTATAATCTTATAAAGATGTATTATATAAAACGCTACGGCTAAAATTAGCGCTTCCTCCATTTTTGAATTTCTGTACAGAGAGGTCACGCAGTGACGTATCGATCTTCTACTGGTCACACGTCTTCACGTGATGCGAATTCACAGGTCAGAGTTCACCAAACTTGAACTTTGGAATGCAGCGAAATGTAAAATTTTTCGCATGAGCTTGCTTTTTCGGTCTGATGCATTCTCATGCGTATGATTGGAAGTCAATGGAACAAAAAGTGCAGTGTGACCACCCCTTTAACCGGTGTTTCATGACCCTTTAAACATATGGGCGATTCTGTAATTGTAGGTACATTTGGTGTCCGAAGTCATTATTTTTTCTGTTTTTTTTTTTTTCAAATGGTTATTTATTGTTATGAATTACAAGATGTTACAGTCAATAACAATATAATAATTTATGTAAAAAGTGTCTTAAATAGCTCAAAATCATGATTTCTTGTTGTCCGAATGAGTCAGTGCATTTTTCCATCATGTATCGTGTAATCAAAATATTTTATTGTACTTTTATTTTTGTAATATATCATTACTTTTATATAAAAAGCCCTTAATACTAATTTACTTAATACTACAACATTATATTGTTTAAAAATAACTTTCCGTTGTTGGTAAAGTGTTAACTTTTTTTTCTTATAAAAATGTGTGTCCATAAATCTTCATTCTAGCATCAACTCTGTTACGTACCATATTTTGCCTTTAAAGTGGTAGAATTATCTCCCACAATTCTGTAAGATACAGGAAATGATGACACTTTCCCTCACTGATAAGATCT